AGCCCTTCTTATAAGCACACAAGAATGGAATTAATAAGGACTATACTGTGCAGTGCAATAGAGGGAAATCTGTGCAAATCCTCTACTGTTCCCCTGGGAACTTCTGAACATAAGTCATCATCAAACAAATCACACCACTGAATCTATTTATCAGATGTATCAATTGTTAATACTGTTCCTGACATTTTACAGTATAGTTCTCAGTCACCTTTCCTAATCTGTCTTTTGAGCTGCTTAATTGATGTTGAAAGTTGAAAGGCAGTGCCCGTAAGTTAATTATCTTTTTGTGCAGGACGAATAGATTTTTTACTGTTTCTGTGCCTTTGCATGGTGCCACAAAGGCTATGGCACATCAGCCTGTACTCACCCACTCACAAATGTAGTCAGGCAGCATCAGTTGAAGCTCCCAGCCCTGGGAACTGGTGCTGTCAGCCTGCCCCAGTTTGACCAAACTGAGTTTCCTGTGGGAGCAGATGGATGGGGCTGCTTCTGTCAACAGAGGCGTCATTGCTGGTGGGTTGGTCTCATTCCAACTCTCACTGCTGTAATCTTAATTCACTTAAGCCACTAATCATGACATTTGCTTTGGCCTGGGCTGTTTTCAGCTGAAATTGCAGAGTTGCCTGTATTTTCTCAGAGATCTCAAGTGCATGTGAAATACAGATATGGTGAGCAGCCCAAGTACTGCTGCTGGACTGGCTTTTGCAGAAGTCACAAGTTCATGTAAGCCTTGCTGTCCCAGCAGGCTGAGGCTTGTACTGTGCTGCTTTACATGACAGAAGGTTCAGTGCAGCTCCTGACCTTGGTGGGAGCATTCCCCAGTGTGTTCTGTCTCTGTGTGCTGCTGATGCCCAGATCCAAACTCAGGCACCCAGCAAAGGCTGAGGGCTGGGGGATCCCTGTGTGCTCACAGGGCTCTGTGCACCAGGGCCAGAGAATTCCCAGGACGTGGGAATCACCCACCATGGATGTTGCTGTCCCCACACAAACACTGCTGATCACAGCGTGTCACAAGGAGGGCATCAGGGAGATCAGGTATATCAAATATGATATAACACACCTTAGAAAATCACACCCAGAATCTGATGAGTCTTGAAGGGTTGAGACACATCAAAGAAAAGTTAAATAAACAACAGTGACCTGTCCTGAGCTGCAGTGAGCTGTGGTCAATGGGGCACAGGCTCCTCACAGCCACCCACAGCTGGGAGAAGGGCCAAGAGCAGGAAAGTACCAGTCAGATACAGCTTCAGCTGTGACGATATTTTAAGTCAGAAGATGGATTTACACTGTGTTTCTTATGCACCTTAAATACATCAAAGGGAAACTTTGGGTTTTAAGTCAGTGGTAAGTGTAGATAGGGATATAAATTCATATACACACACATATATATAAAGAACAATATATGCCAACTTGTGACTGAGATTTTTTCTGAATCACAAATCTTCAGTGATTGAGAACTCTGAGTTCTGAATTTCCCTAAGCAATCTCTGCCTGTCAGCTCCCCTCCTCTCTGCAGAACAGTTGCTCATTTACCAGTTTGGCTTGTTTACTCTGGAAATAATCTGGATTCTAGTCCTGTACTTGGGTAGGTATGAACACTTATTTTGTTCTTGGTACATCTCTGGGGCAGTTCTGCCAGTTGTGACAAAAGAAGATTTAAGGGCAGTGTTTGAGAAGGGGAGATCCCTGTTAAAAAAACGTTCCTTTAAAAAAAAACCCTGACAACTAAACTATTGCTGGGGGAAAGAGAGAGGTAAGAATTTTTAATTCCATAATAAAAGTAGTGGAAATATTTGTGGGAACAGTTCGTTGACATGGCAGAAAATAATTAAACTATTTTTAGTATTGAGTTTTCACTGTTGTAGAAAAAAATGTCTTGGGTAGGAGCTTCTGAAGAACCACAAGGGGCAGTCTGGAGAGGATGGGGAGTTATTTCAGCAGAGATAGAGATGCTGTTCAGACCTGTAAGATGATGTATTTCCACAAAGGGCATTCTTTTCAGTCTGCTGATGAAAAGTCTTGTGGGTTTCCCACCAGCAGAAGCTGCTTAATTGCATTTTGTGTATGCTCTTAGAGTACCTGTTTGGTGAGAACCTGACAAATGGTCTTCTGAAAGTAAATCAATTTTGTTTTCTTGGGCTTTCTTGAATATACATGATGTCCGGAGCCTGAAAAGCACAGCAGTGGCACAAGAGGAAGCAAACAGTGGGGCGCCAGTCAGGCTCTGTGGGGCTCTGAAAGACTTTGTAGCCTCCTGTAAAGAGAAAGAAGAATGTGCCATTGGCGGTAGTGAGTAAATGGAACCTTCTTGTCTTCTTTGCTCTTGTCTCCTTATAAATAAACCATTGTTGTCCATCCTTGGCATTTGCAGTTCATTGTGATAAATTGGTCTTGATGTGTCTGACATTTCAACCAAGTTGTTTAATGGTGCTTTTCTGAAAAGGCAGATCTTGCTATAAGTTGTATTGGTCCAGAATGCATCCAGGGTAAGAGCACTCACCATTCCACACAGCCTAACCCATTCCTTTCTGCCTGCACAAAGAGGGAAGGAGGGAGTAAAACATTTTGGTCACGTCAGCCCAAGGGGCCTGGGTTTGTGTAAGCCGTGCACAGAAACAGAAATGTTCAGTCTGGGCTGCAGTTGCTGAAAGCCTCTTTAATAGTGTGGACAACAACATGGACCCCACTTGCATCTGCAGCCTCTGGGGGGGAGAGGGGAGGAAAACACCCAGCTTGCTGGAAATGCAGGTGTGTTTCCACCAAAGGTTTGCTTTGAGTGTTGTGCAAGATCCCCTCTCTGTTAGCTGCCAGTGCTTACAAGTCATTGGCTTCCATGAAACAATTGCTTGGGTGCAGAAACCACTGGAACACAGAGATTTGATGAACTGTGACCAGCAGCAGCTTCTATTGCTGCATCCCTGAAAGTTCAAGCTTTGATTTACATATTTTAGATGTCTGTAATTATTCTGTCAGGGAGATGACTAACACAGAGGTTGCTTTCCATAAATAGGAGCCTTCTGTTCATACCTTTCCAAACCTTTCAGCTTCCCAAAACTATTAAGCATCTGCCCACAGCAGCCAAGCAAAAGTAATTCCCATAATTTAAACTGTGACCAGTAAATAACCTTTTTGCTGGTTAATGATCCCACTGTGTGCTGATACCATTTTATGATTATATTTTACCTTCTTCAAAATCAGGTGTGTGGAACATGTTCTTACCTGTCTTGACCTGCTTGGTTCTCAGTGGAGATTTACAGTGAGGATGGAAGACCTGGTTCTACTTGGCATCAAAACAAATTCTCTTTTCCATCACCATTGCCAGAGCAATGTTTAGAACAATTTTTGGGGGATGTGGACCAAGAACCTGATTAACAAATGTCTCTGTGACATTTTGGTATCCCAGTTTTCCCAGTATGCCAATGCAATCCAAACCTCAGTGTAGTTGGGCAGTACAAAACCTGCAGCTCAGAGGGGACACAGGACCTGGCCTGAGTTGGCAAATATACTGATCATGGTTGGGTCTTGTTGGAGAGCCTTTCCAATGTTTTTTATTACTAATTTGCTGGAAAAATAATCCCAAAGCCTAAGTAAGGATCCTTTTTCCTCCCCCCTGTAACCATGCAACATTGATAAATGTTATTTAGGTATGCAGCAAGCAAATTTCAACAGAAATGCTGTCATGCCTCAGGGTTATAAAACTCCATTACATCTGTTATTAACTGTCTGTCTGTGGCAGGACCTAATTTTTCTTGATGTATTGGTTGCCCACAGCTTCTCAAAACTGCTTCTTCTAGCACTTGAAGGCGCTAAGGCAGAAATGCAGGGATTAAATGGCTCTGCTCTCCAAGTGGCTGATTGATGCTTTGGGGCTGTAGGATGCCCTTTCACTGCCTCCTTGTGTAGGTGGAAGGGGAGGTATAATTTTCATCCTCTCAGCACTTGGGAAGCTGATTGACTTTGTGTAAATACCTTTACCAGGGCAGGGTAATGTGAAGGTTTGAATTTAGAATCTGGGTTCCCACCTGCTCAGTAGACCTGCAGCCATACACAGCATTATTATCATTAATACCAATGGAAGAAATATTTGAATATATTGAAATATTTGAATATAATTTTTTGATGAAAGAAATCAATCTGTTTAATAAGCAAATCCTGCCAAACTGGATGATGATTCCAGAATGCTAAACAATTGTTTAAATTGTGGAACATTTTGCATTTCAGCAGCCTTGTCACAATAAATGTAGATCTGTTGCTCTTTACAGTAGTATGAAGGAAAAAAAAAAGGGAATTTTAGCAATGCAAACTAGTTATGAGAGAATGAGCTTCACAGCTTACTTGGTTCCAGATAAATCTGGCAGATTCTTTTTCATAGTTGTCTTCTTGCCTGTACTGGGGTTTTGCTTCTGCAGGTCCTCCTATGTCTCCATGTCTGACATCACAATTGCCTCAATTTACGCAGTTACAGCTCAATTTGTTAAATACCTGCAAGTTCCTGCTTGTCCTTGCTGCTTTTCCCTCAGCTTTGCTGACCACAATCTGCCCAGATCATTATGTTTAGAAATTGCCTTGCCAAACCTAGCCATGCACCGTTGTACTAAAATGAGGGAATTGCTTTTTCCTGGCTTGGCTGGAGGGGTTTGTGCAGAGCTGCTGTGCTGTGTGCAGGGCAGTGACTGAGCAGCTCCAGCTCAGTGTGTTGGGCAGGGAGGCAGAGCCTGGTGCTGCCCTGAGCATCCCTCCCTGCAACAACCAGCCCCAAGTTCCCAGCTGGAATCCCTGTTGCTCTGTGGGAACAACTCTCAGTTTGTTTAGGCTGAGAGGGGCAGGAGGGGCCTCGTTCCCAGGGCAGCCTGGTTGAGGAGGCAAAGGTTCACTTGGGATTTCATTCCAGTATGGCTCAGGATTCAGCCATTCAAAGTAACTTTACCAGCATAAACAATGTTAGAAATGTTTATAAATATGTTTAACTTCTGTTTATTTCTTTGGTGTTTTTCTTCCAGCCAAACAAGTGTGTCCTCCTGAAAAAATTAGCTGTGGAGACTTAAGCAACAAATGCATCCCGCTGTCCTGGAGGTGTGATGGGCAGAAGGACTGTGAAAGTGGAATTGATGAGGCTGGTTGCACTCCTGGTGAGTTCATACAGATACAACATCTCCATGTAGGATATAAAAGTCCTGGAGTGACTCTTACAAATGGCATGGAAAGGGATGGATTTTCCTGCCAGCAAACTCACTCTGCTTTGCAGTGCTGAGTGGTGACTTCTAGAACCAGGGAGGAAAGGAGGATTCTCCCGTTGGGGCTGGCTGGAGAATGCATGAACTCTCTGAAGAATTAAGTATTATTATTAGGTTCAACACCCAGGTGATATGGAAAGGAGTTAAATAAGGTTCAAATCTTCCTCTGTGATAGCTCAGCAGGTTCCTGCTGTCCTGTGCAGAGTGGGGACAGACTCAGGCTGGCTTCTGCTGGGGTAGAATAGATAGGCCTGGACATTGATGGCTTGTTGGTTTCACTGGACAGAGAGAGAATGATGTACTCTGTACCCATAACTGTTTTAAATTCAGTCCCTAAATGGCCATTGCCTTTTATTGGGCCTTTCTGTGCTGAATGAAAGAGCCTTTTAACAGTGTTTTCAGTCTGTGAAAACTCCTGCACTGTGTGGTCAAACTATTTCTCAGGCTGCCTTTTTGGTAGACCAAATATATTGGTTCTTTATGCTCCTTGGTGTCAAATATTCCCTTTTGAATGAATGCTTGACTCATTCTTGTGGCTCCCTTTGGTATTCCAGTTGGTTTTCCAACTTTCTTCTTACACAGACCACCAGAATTTAGGGAGTATCAGTCTTGCCAGTCTGTGCAGAAGTAAAATCACCTTTCTGATTTCTAATAGTGTTTTTATTAAATTCTTTGTGTGCAAATGACCCTAGGCTTTTAAGAAGCTTTCTAAGTTCTGTGTATTCACTCATCCCTCAATATTTCTAGTGTTGCATGTGGTATCAGCAATGTCACTTTTACTTCCAGGTTACTGGTGAAAGAGTTGAATGGTTACATTCAAGCACAAATTGAAGTTTCTTCCTTTGAAAACTGAATTTTGGGCTCTAATTCCTGCCCAGTTCATAATCACATTATGTCTTTCCTTTGAAGCTGTATAAGGAAATATATTTTACATTAACATTTTGTGGCTCTGAGTGGAGTGCTGTGGACAAATTTATTTCTTTGCAGTCAGCTTTATCAAACAAAATATTATCAAAGCTTTTACTTTTTGAGCAACTTGTTCCACTATTTAGCTCTCTTTGTAGAAGTATTTTTTCTTAGTCCTTTATTTTCTTTGTCCTTTTATTGGTTTTCCATGTGAAACTCTCTAAGTGTTTTCTCTTTAGCATGTACATTTTTTTTCTTTGAATGGGAGGCTCAAATTAGAGACAAATTCAGAAGATAATTGTAACTGCTGTTTTCCTGATATGAGTTTGTGAATTTAGAACAATTTTTCACTGGTGGCTGCCTCTCCTGATTTAATGCAGCTGCTCACACCAGTGGGAATGGTCTCACAGAGTCCTTTAAAATAGTTATATAAAAATCTACTTGAAATTGCTTTGAACTTTTTTTCCAAAGCCTTAGGTAACCCCCAAAATGCATGTAAATATGTTCTGAATGCCACATAATTTCAGCATAATGATGCTATTAATGGATTTGGAAATAGCTGAGTCTTTCTGCTCTGGATGTTTCAGCACCTTTACTTATAGTTAGCTTCCAGTTTTAGTGCATGTGCAGGTTCTTAAAAACCTTAAAAAAATGTAATCCAAGGACAAATTACCACATTTTGATGCTTGCTGGGTAACTGGTGAGAAATGAATTAGTGGCTTTCAACCAATTTCTAATGACTGAGCATTGTCCCCACACACTGGAAATCTCTGCTGAGTCTGGCTGTAGGGTGGGCATGAGGACAGGGAAAAGGCATTGACAGGTAAACCTGGAGCATCCTGGGTGGGTGCAAAGATCAAAACCTTTCAGTCCTAAAATCTCAACTCAGCATCTTTCAGAGGTCAAAACTCACTTTGAGAGAGGCACTGCTGAATGGCTGTGGTGGGAGCACTTTCAGGGAGGTTCCCTGTCAAATGAAGGTCTTTTCCTCATGGATGAGAACAATTGTGTGAGCTGTTTCACCAGGGAGCTTGTGCAGGATTGATAGCTATCCTCTCCTTATCCAAATCTGATAAACCTCACTAAGCCTATCCACTGATACTCTGTTAACATTCCCATTTCTTCTCTGGTTAGAATCCTCCTTTCTCTGTTTCCTCTTATCTCAGCAGCACACAGTATCCTGACCACTTCAGACTCCTTCTTCTCTTTGTTTTGTTAATTAAATCTCTGCACTGAGGTTTTTATTCTCATTTTATAAGAAGCTTCAGCACTGCCTGTCACAGCAGCCCCTTGGAGCACAGCACCCTGTCACAGAGGCTGCACTCCTCACAGGGCTGACCAGCCTGTCTATAAATAACACAACTTGCTGGATGAATGTTTGCAAGGGGATTTATTTGTGCTCAGAATAATTTCTGTGGTGAGAGCCTGCATGTGCAGTAAACAAGTGGATGATGACTTGAAGATGGTGTGAGTGAGGGCATCCAGAAGAAAAACCCCCTAAGCTCTTTCTAAATCCATGTTAATAAAGCTACTACTGCAACCTCATGTGACACTCCAGAAATGTTTTAACTGTGTATACTCTTGCTTTTTGATAGGAATAACTGGCTCTTGGATTTCTAATTCTTCAAGAGGATTTAATATGGAGTTTATGAACCTTATTTATGCCTGCATTTCTGCATTGGTAGTTTGTACCAGTTAGAAGATTGTGCTGGTATCCAGGAGCAGAGCTTGGTTGTGCTGAGGCTGTGCAAGAACCTGTCCCTGTGTCAGAATGTTCACAGCCCAGGTTCAGGGAGGATCTCCTGCAGGAGAGGACAGCAAAGATTATGGTGTACAATCATCCAGAACTGTAGGAACAGTGTAGGTGTGTTATGGTTCTTCCTCCTCCAGCACTTTCCTTCCCAGCTACTGCTCTAAGCCTTCTAATTTTTCCTCTCAGAATGGTATCACTGCTTTTTGAGTCCATGGGAAATGTATCCAGTGCAGACACTGGGGGACAGAGCAGCTGTTCAGAGACCTGGGGACAAAAGTAGAGAAGCTGAACAAGGAGACAATGGTGTGATTTTCACCCTGTGGAAGAACTTGTCAAGGAAGAAATGGAAACTGAAATTCTTTTACCTGCAATGGATAAAGCACCAGTGATCAGGGATCCAGATTTCTGTCTGCACAGGCTGTAGTTGCACCAGGGGTTAATTGCAGGTATTAATCCTTGCACATAGGTACTTAAGTGCCTGTCTGCTTAAATAATTGACTTCCAACAGACAGGCTGTAAGAACACTACTGACTTCCAGTGCACAAACAATTTTTGAAAATGTAAGTATTTGCCTTTTTAAAATAAGACTATATAAAAAGAAAAATCCTTTTTTTTTTCCAGTTTTTGGAGCAGAAGTAATTTGAGTCTTCACAATACCAGGTGTGTTGTAGCCACAGGTCAGGGTTAGTAGCCTTGAATCTGCTGGCTTGGAGGTGCTGGCAGCCTCCTTATTTCCCTGGTAAAGGTTTTTCTGCTCCCAGTGCACCCAACCTTTGGCACAATGGATTGGAGAAGCTTAGGACTGAGTTTAGGGAGCCTGAAAGAGAAATTAAATAGGAGAGGCTGTAATTAAAGCAACACAACTCAGGGTCCATCTGGACTTGGCTAACTACTGCAGAACTTGTTAAATCTCTGCTGAGGGAGGCAGTAAGCAGTGTTTTGTCAGCTGCTCAGGAATGCAGAGAGCACTTGAGAGAGGCTTTGGAAGAGAGGAGCTGCCATCCTGTACCAGCTGAAACAGCACTGAACCCCTTTAGTGCACACAGGGCCCTCTGAGAGGGCTCTGGGATGCTCACAGAGAACAAGGCTCTGGCCCCATCTCCTCTGGCTGTGGCACTGCTGCTCACCTGAAGCACTGCTTGCACTCCATATGGAAATTGTGTCTTGCAGATGAGCAGTTGGAAGTGCACCAGTTTCCCCTTTCCCAACAGCCAGATGCAGGGAAATGATGAATTCATTATTATATTGATAGCAGAATAAGCTGTTTATCCATGGTTTATTCTGCTGAACTCTAGCACAGAGACAGTGATCATGGGGAACTTTTGCAGGCAATGGACATTCTCACACTAACCTTGTGCAGTTGGCTGAGGTGAGAGCCAGGAATTCCTGCAGGAGCCTTATGCAGTGACAACCTTGTCACCCAGAGCATCTTCTTTTGGACCCTGGTCTTCAGGCTTGTCATTGCTGACCATGTATCTCAGAATTAGTTCTAGTTTTTCAGCCTCATGATACGATGATGTGCCAGATTAAAAGTGAACAGACTGGATAAAGGTTTTTTTAATTCTTAAGGGAAACCACAGTAAGCATAGGTGTGCTCAGCTGGAACCCTGTGTCCTTGCCATGGCACCTCACAGGCTTTCCCATGTAAATAGATCATTTACAGGATCCTCAGGTGGTGAACTTTCCACTTCTCCTGGCACAGCTCCAGGCTCATGTGTTACTCTCCAAAAAAGCAGCAGCCCCTCCCAAGTGAGGGGTCCTTTTCTTGGAAGATCCAAGTGCAGAAAACTTAGAGTCAGCTCTTGCCAGTGCCCTGGTTAACAGCCCTCAGGTCAGCTGAGAACCACTGGCTGAAGGCAGAATTTAAAGCAGGCTAAAGCTCCTCATCCCTCCAGCAGATCCACCTGGTGATGAACCAGCTGAAGGAGGGAAACTGCAAAGCTGATTTAAAGTCACCTTCCCCCACTCTGCTCCTGCACCTGTGCTCACATGAAGTGACCTTTCTATTGACAGTTAAATTGTTTTTTCATCTTTTATCATTGTCCTGTAACTATAAAGAGCATCATGTTGTCCCAGCACTCTTCTTTTTTTTGTGTAGTAGAAGGTATCTGTATTTTGCATGAGCCACACTTCCAGTGCTCCCTGCTGGGATTTGACCACACCGATCCAGTCCATTCCAGATCTCCACTGATCCTTCTGAGACCTTCTAACTTGGTGATAATGTAGCACTGATTTT